TTTTTTTTTTTTTTTGTTATGGCTAATATTGTTAAGTTTTACAGTCAGTTTCGTTTCCTTTCTTTTTTATTTATTTTTTTTTTAAAACCTTTGTACTTTGTAGATTTTAGCAGATTTGGCCATTTGTGTGCTTTAAAACTCCAAATTAACGGTGTGTTAATTAGGTGCTTTCAATTTTAAGACTTATATCGATGGTTATATAATTTTTAGGTCTTGAATTGAGAAAATAAATCTTTTAGGCCCCGAATTAATAATTAACATATCTTTCGAGTCTTGGACTGAGAAAACTCCATGATACTAATATATATACTTATAATACTTAAAAGAAATAGTATCTAGACTTAGTTAAATAAAAGAGAGAAAATGAATATATCTTTTTTATAATTCTTTTGCTTACTAGAATATCAAAATATTGTTTTAAAACTTCTGTAAAAAATAAATCCTACATCCTGTGAAAAGAAAAATGTAATATGACATGTGACCCTAATTTTCACGATTAGTTTTCCGTAGTCGTGCCTATTAGGGATGAGTGTGATAAGTATGAGACTCGAAGAATTTTACATTGTTCTAAAAACTGAGCCGAAATCATTCCAAATCGAAAAATAATCGTTGACAATTTGACTTTCTCCGAACCGAACCGAACCAAAAAAATTATTGGTACGGTTCTGGAGATTTCACAAATATCTGTACCGAGAACTAAACCGAACCGTCTCGTACCGTACCGAACCGAATAAACGAAATTAAAAACTAAATTATAAAAACAGATGTGTGATATTAATATATTTTATGTCAACTTTGATCCTATATAATTTGAATTTTTTTAAAATGGAAATAAAATATAGTTATAACAATTAAGCTTCACTTAAATTTCATACTTAATAATACTTGAGATCTACAATTGAATTTTTCTAGTTTAAAAGATATATTTAAAATGGAATGAAAGGTTAAAGAAATATTTATTTATAAAATATTTAAACATTACCTAAATTTGTCGATACTAGTCTTATAATATTGTATAACTAACATGGTATGGAAGGTAAAAGAAATATTATTTTAATAAAAAATTATATTATATTTTGTTTGAATTTTGAATTTTTAATGTAAGTTGCACAAATTTTAGTCTTAACTAAAAATTTAAAGTTATTTCTTCAGTTGATTTAAAAATAAATCTTTAATATGATAAATTATTGATGAATGTTGGATTAAAAAAAAAATATAAATATTAAAATACAACTATGTGGCCATTCAAAGAAAAAATTAAGAAATAATTAGAAATAACGGAACCAAGCCGCGAACCGAACCGAACCGAACCGAATCGAACC